TGAGAAAAAAAAATAAATAAATGCAACAGAGAGGGCAATCCCTCTGCAACTATTTTTTCTGCAAAAATCAGCAACTAGTTTCTAATACCTTCTCCTACAGGTGTCCAAATTCTTCAGGGAAGGGACTCTTGTATTGGAATAGAAGATAAAGGTAAAGGACTCCTGCTAGGAATAATCTACTTTGATTTTCCTAAACAAGCACGAAGTTGCTCTTACTGTTAAAGGCAGATTTACATTGAGTGCATAATGCCAACACCTGCTGAATCCACTTAGTACAGTGTGAACACTCCCGTGGACAAGTCCTGAGCACATAAAAGCAGGCAACAGGTGGAGATGACATGCCAATGAGAGAACAGAAGGCAACAAAAAGGCAGCATTGGTCAGAGCGATAAATAGTTGTCACAATGCACCATCTGCTGAAAGAGTACCAAGAAATCTGTTGTCACAGCCACAGAACAGAATATTTGTGTTATATATATATGCTTTTCCTAGTCACTCAAGATCATCTCCAGTTTGGGCATCCTCCCCAGTCAGAAGGGAATTTAGAATATAATTTTAGGTTTTGAACATTGACTACATTTGACATTTTGTACATTGACTACAGTGTAGCCCAGACCTCGCTCTCACTGCTGCACAATCTGTCTGATCATCAAATCTCTGAAGTTGAAAAATCTTACGCTTATGTAAAGTGGGGAGGTGTTGTATGTGATACTCTTTGCCCATTACTATATGAAATAGAGATGAAATTACCCTAATTTATTTTTATTTATTTTTATTATTTAATGTCAATATTTATATTTACATTTATATTTACATTTGCATTTATATTATTTAATTTTTATTTTTCCTTTCCTTTTTCCTTTTTTTTTTGTGGTCTTTTTTTTTTTTTTTTTTTTTTTTTATTTTTACTCACTTGTAAAAACTTGTGCTTAAACCAAATAATTAGCAAAATTAAACAGGGCAGCAATTGAATGAATGGTTGTTATATGAGTCCCGCTATGAGAGACAAATGTTATAATTAAAGAAGCTAAGATCTTAACCTTTATCTGAAGTATAATAATAAAGAGGCAGAATGAAAGAACTCTGATCACCTAATGATGGACTGGTCATCTGAGCAATCCATTGGGGTTATTTTCTGGATAACTGGAATATTTCAGATCTCACCAAATATTCATTAAATGCATCTCTGCCTCAACAGGTTGGATGTTGTTTGATTTCATGAGATTGAAAGGGTTGTATCTTATTTTGTGTTTCAAGATGTGGAATTTGTTATTTTTATGTGGCATACTCTTATTGTAAATTGGCTGGAGAGTGGTTTTCTGTGGAGCTTGGCAGGTACTACGATGGAGAACATGCCATGTCACTATGAAGCTCTACAATTGCTGCCACGCTTGCTATCATGAGTATCTCTTACAGATACAGATAACATTTCACAGCTGCAAACTGAGTCTTTCTCAAAATGGCCATGGCTTTCAGAGACTTTGAAGGCTTGTGCAGGATGACTGCAACAGCTGTGGGAATGTAACGTATGTAACCAGTGATCTTCAGGAAACAAATCTATGACAGATACTCAGCATAGCTTATCATGTTCAAAGACAACATTGCAAACAACAGGGTGAGAATTTTCTTTTTTAACATATAAGTAAAAAATAGTCCAGGCAAACTGAAGAGACTTTTTTAGAGATCCTGGGGTCCTTGCACAGCTAATTCTCTTAAAGAGAATTGAAACTATGAACCCTAAGTGATTATGAAAATTAAATTGTTAGTAAGAGGCGTGATTATTTTTTAACAGCATAGTTATGCTTGTAGAAGTTCCATGGTAGACTTAGGAATGCAGAGAAATGTAATGTCCAAGTAGAAGCACTTTTGCATTGATAAAAATACATAGCCTCATAACATTTGCAGGAACAATTTAACAGCTAACTCTGTGTCATTTGCCTGTGGATGTTAGATAAGATGAGATGAGATAAGATTTTTAATCAAAGTTACATATGAGACTCACACAGCAACTTTGGTCACTTGGCCAGTGGTAGATGCAGTTATCCCACCATAAATATACTTATGATAGCACAGCTTGGTTTGCTCTGAAAAAGTCTGTAGGAATGATTTTATATGGTGTATATGACATGCTTTGCTCTATATTACAGCAGAGGATCGTATTAGTACCTGGCCTTATTTAAGGCTCTTACGTGTAGATTATAACATATGACAACATATAACAATATGACTGAAATTGCAGAACTCTTTTGCACAGTACTAAGAGAAACAGTGCATAATACTTATGGTAATAAGTGCAGTAACAGTAATGATACTTATTGTAATGTAACTATGTCAATGGGGAGTAGAAAAGGAATGGAATCTGACTTATTTTCCAGTTATATTAGAGTGTTTAGAAGCTGAACTGCATCCAAACTAAAGCATTGTATACTTACCACTTAGTGCCCAGTGTAGCATGGATTTAAAATGTATACTATTGCAGTAATGGTAATGAGAAAATACAGGATGCTTGACCTATAATGTATCAAATGCACCACAGAGTATGTAAAAAAACTATAGATTTTAGACTGGCTTTTAAATATCTCCCCGATATCAAAATGAACATCAACAATTTTTGCTTATATTCATAGATGGGCAAAAACTGAGACTATGAGTGTCATTAAATATCTTTATGATATTTAATAATAATTTATCTTAATGATATTTATGATATTTAGGGTTGTGCTCAGTGGCACTGAGTCTAGTTGGAGACCTGTAGCTAGCAGTGTCCCCCAAGGCCCAGTCCTGCTCAACCAATTCATCAATGACCTGGATGATGGAATAGAGTGCACCCTCAGCAAGTTTGCTGATGAAACAAAGGTGGGAGGAGTGGCTGATACCTCCAAGGGCTGTGCTGCTGTTCAGAGGGACCTGGAAAGGCTAGAGGGTTGTGCTGAGAGGAACTTCATGAAGTTCAACAAAGGCTAGCGCAGGGTCCTGCACCTAGAGCAGAATAACTCTATGTACCAGTACAGGCTGGGGGCTGACCTGCTGGAAAGAAGTCCTGAGGAGAAGGATATGAGAGTCCTGGTGCAGGAGAGCAGGTTAACCATGAGCCAGCATTGTGCCCTTGTGCTCAACAGGGCCAATGGTATCTTAGTGTGCATGAGGAAGAGTGCTGATAGCAGGTTGAGGGAGGTGATCCTACCCCTATACATCCTGGCATCCTGGCTTGTATAAGAAGCAGTGTGGCCAGCAGGGCTAGGGAAGTGATTGTGCCTCTTGACTTGGCTCTGGTGAGGCCACACCTCGAGTACTGTGTTCAGTTTTGGGCCCCTCACTACAAGAAGGACATTGAGGTGCTCGAGCGAGTCCAAAGAAGGGCGACGAAGCTGGTAAGGGGTCTGGAGAACAAGTCCTAAGAGGAGCGGCTGAGGGAGCTGGGCTTGTTCAGCCTGGAGAACAGGAGGCTCAGGGGCAACCTTATTGCTCTCTACAGGTACCTTAAAGGAGGCTGTAACTAGGTGGGGGTTGGTCTATTCTCCCACTTGCCTGGTGACAGGACAAGGGGGAATGGGCTAAAGTTGTGCCAGGGGAGTTTTAGGTTGGATGCTAGGAGGAACTTCTTTACCGAAAGGGTTGTTAGGCATTGGAACAGGCTGCCCAGGGAAGTGGTGGTCACCATCCCTGGAGGTCTTTAAAAGATGTTTAGATGTAGAGCTTAGTGATATGGTTTAGTGGAGGACTTGTTAGTGTTAGGTCAGAGGTTGGACTCGATGATGTTGAGGTCTCTTCCAACCTAGAAATTCTGTGATTCTGTGATTCTATACTCAGCCCTGGTGAGACCTTACCTGGAGTATTGTGTCCAGTTCTGGGCTCCCCAGTACAAGAGGGACCTGGGGCTCCTGGAGCGAGTGCAGCAGAGGGCTGTGAAGATGACTGGGGGACTGAATCATCTGTCATATTAGGAGAGTTTGTGAGAGCTGGGCCTGTTTAGCTTGGAGAAGAGGAGGCTGAGAAAGGATCTGATCAATGTGTACAAATATATAAAAAAGAGGGTGTCAAAGAGGATGGTGCCTAGTGACAGGACAAGAGGCAGCAGGCACAAACTGAAACACAGGAAGTTCTGACAGCATATGAGAAAATATTTCTTTACTGTAAGGGTGACTGAACACTGGAACAAGTTGCCCAGAGAGGTTGTGGAGTCTCCATCTCTGGAGATATTCAAAATCCACCTGGATGTGATCCTGTGCAACACGGGCCAGGTGACCCTGCTTGGCAGGGGAGTTGGACTGGATGATTTCCAGAGGTCCCTTCCTACCTCCACCATTCCGAGATTCTGTGATTCTGTGATGATGTAATAATATTTTTAAATATTGAAAGTTCATCTGGAGTGGTGTCCTGGTTTCAGCTAGGATAGACTTAATTTTCCTTTTAGTAGCTGGTATGGTGCTGGGATTTAGGATGAGAAGTGTTGATAACACATTGATGTTTTAATTGTTGCAGAGCAGTGCTTACACTAAGCCAAGGACTTTTCAGCTTCTTCCTCTGTCCTGCCAGTGTGCAGGCTGGGGGTGCAGCAGGAGCTGAGAGGGGACAGACCCAGGACAGGTGACTCAAACTGGCCAAAGGGTTATTCCATACCATCTGACATCATGCTACACAATAGACAGGGGTGGCTAGCTGGGATGGGGGGGCTGTCTGCTCAGGGATAAGCTGGGCATTGGTCAGTGGGTGGTGGGCAATTGTATTGTGCATCACTTGTTTGTACACATTATTAATATTGTTGTTGTTGTTGTTATTATTATTATTATTTTCCTTTCTTTCCTGTACTAATAAACTGTCTTTATCTCAACCCATGGGTTTTCATTTCTTTCTAATTCTCTCTCCCTATGCCTGAGAGGGAGTGGGGAAGGTGAGCTAATGGCTGTGTGGTGCTTAGCTGCCAGCTGGGTTAAACTGTAACAAGTGGTATTTTTAGATTGTGTGTCACAAAAAAGCCCTGCCTGTTTTCCAAAGCCAAGTCCAAATTAACGATCTTTTCTTCTATCTTGTATTTTTGTTCTACCATAAGAATATTATTTTCTTTCCAGATCAATTAATTTTGGAAACAACTGTTTCCAGAACAGTTCATTTCTCTTTACATGATGAATTGATGTAGTCAGAAAGGGGCTGGCCAGTCCTCAGCTGGCAAACAACTGTGTGACGCTGTACTGTAGGTAGATATGTGCCCTCATGCCTGTAGCTGAGAGCATTGAAAGTATTTGAAGTTCATCAGTCTTCCACAAAATAAAATCCTCTTTCATTGAATTCACCTCTGGTGTCACTGAAGACAAATCTGGCAGTTCATAAAATTGCTTAGGTAAGTAAATTATTAATTTTAGCCTTGATTAGCTTATTTGGCCTAAACTGCTGATATTTTCCCTGAAACTGTGGCCAGGCTTCAGGAATACCACACAGGAAGGCAAGGAAACATCTGAAAGACTGAGAGAAATGTTTATATTGATCTTGTCATTGATCCACCTCAAGGCAAATACACACGATAAAATTTGCATTAGCAATGGGCTTTGTGAATCGCACCCCATTTTGCATAGGAAGAGGTCCTGCTTGTCACATATGAAGCAGAAGCAGTTGTGTGACATAAAACCACTTCTCAGGTTTTTCACAAGGAAACCATAGCTCAGGAAAAATCTTTTAAAAATGTTTCAGAATTATGGATGTTTAAGAGAACTCTACTTTGAAGCTATTTTTAATCTGAATAAAGTGTTCCTGAGCTGTTGATCATGGCAAAGTCCGGTCATTGTGGCCTTTGAGTTTTTCAGTGCTTTCATTTCAAAATTAAAAGCAGACAGTTTAAATGATTCAATATGGTAAAAAGCCAAAAAATGTGGTTATATGACATTTTGTGAGTGTCATGGGCCTTTTAAATTTGAAGGTTTTTTTTTTTTTCTTTTTTTGTCTTTAGCAGCAGAAGCTGTGCATTACAATATCCACAAGTACTGCATGACTTAATAGGAGGAGGTGACTTGCTTTTTTTTAATTTTTAATTTTAATTTTTATTTTCAATTCCCTATATTATTTTCTTTATAATTAAACTCCTTTTATTTATTTATTTATTTATTTATTTATTTAATTTTTATTTTCCAGAAACAGAATACAGCTAATGCCTTTAAGCTTTTGAGCATGGTATCTTACTAATTCAAACATTTAAGTTTTTAACCTTTGGAAAGGATTCAAGCTATACTAATTTTCATACAGTTACTTATTTTTAACACTATAATCAGACCTTAACTATTGTAGGTGTTTTTGAACACAGAGAAGTTGTTGAATGAAAGACTATTTTAACTTTAAAAATGGATCTAATGTAATCAGTTAGATACTTTGCCTTTTCTCTCTCTCTCTCTTTTTTTTTTTTTTCATGGAAAAATATATGGACATTGAGTTGCAGACTTAAATTAAAAATCCTAACTAGAGAGCTGTAGCCCCAGGATGAGTGTTTGTGCAGAATGTTTTAATCTAGGAACTCCATCTCTGAGGTAAGATTTTCATGAGAAATTTGCAAATAAAAATAATTCTGCTTCTTGCCATTCATACTTGTGAAGACAGTAGGTAGGATAATAGAATTGCCTTAGCAGGTATTTATTGGAAAATCAGTTCTGATAAAAGATGTGGAGGTAGAGTTTCTATGAGAATTAGGTATTCCTAAAGTTGTGGGTGGTGAGAAATGCAAATCCTGTTGTTGATTCCCACTCACAGGAATTTCTGTTCTCTGTTTTTATCCCTTTTCAAGAAGCTATAGTCTTGTGCAGTGAGAGCTGATATATTAACTTGACCCTGTCCCTAAGAAAGCTATTATCTATCCCATTGCTGTGAAGCATCTGAACCATGACTTTGGTATAGTACTTTCAAGAAGAATATAACTTCATTATCTTCAGACACCTTGCAGAGCAAACACACAGGCTATATCACCTGTTTTTGTGAAAAGACATGACTTTTTGGAACTCGTAAGTTACAGTGTTTACTTTTTTTTTTTTTTTTAATAAAAAAACTTGTTTTTCATATGTAGTTTTAGCATATGAAGCTATTTATATGTAGTTTCAACCCACTGCATGTTACCAATTCTAAATTCCATTTACAGATTTAATTTTCCAATCCCCACCTTTTTATTTTAATCTTGTTCAGTGTTTTTAAAGCTGTTACTGCAAAGCAGTCTTTTAAAAACATAAATTATCAGACACAATTGCTTTCAACCACATTATCAGCAAATGGCAAGAGTGCAATCAAACTAAGTGCTTCTTCCTGTTGTCTTTCATGCACACACACACCCCACAGACAAAATCACACTTGAATACATTCAGCTAAAACAGCTGATGAAACCTTTTTTCTGCTTTTCCCATGTGGCAAGTGAAGGGAAGAATGTGTCCCTGCACAGTGGTGTCATGACTTCCGCTATGCCAGTTTCTTTCCTTTGCATGGATCTGCCTGTCGGTCACACTTATGTCACAGCAGTTTGGAGGGGTCATGTTTCCCTCCCACAGCAGCTGCTGTGCTTTTTCCCTTTTCACTCTCTGTGTTCAGTGGTCCTGTCACTACTAAAAGAAGTCAGGTACCCCAGTGCCCTCAGTTGTGCTGCTGTGTAAGAGGTGATATGAATCATAGAAGCTGGCATCCGGTCTCTCCTGCAGAGCACTTCCAGGCAATGGTAGAAGCTGTCCAGCTCATTTTCTCTGCAGCATCACAGAGATGCTGCAATATAGAAGCAATCTGGCAAACAGAGGGAAAGAAACCAAACAGTTCTCACTATGTCTGTGAGAACGTAGTATCTGTCACAATACTTCAATTCTGAAAGAATACTCCAATTTTAAAAAATAGTAATATTTCAAAAACAGGCTAGTTTTATTCACAGAGATGGGAGCAGTAAAATCCCTATGTGTATTAGTTCATTCTGTTTCACTAGACACTAATTGTTACTGCTAGGTTTGTATCCAGCAAATGGTTTGTCACCGTTTATAATGATGTCAGCTGAGTGTTCTTCCTGATGATGATGGCACCAATCTGAACCCCACAGAAACCTGCAATCCCCCTCTACTCTGCCCTGGTGAGACCACATCTGGAATATTGTGTCCATTTCTGAGCCTCTCAGTTCAAGAAGGACAGGGAACTGCTTGAGAGAGTCCAATGCAGAGCCACAAAGATGATTAAAGGAGTGGAACATCTCTCGTATGAGGAAAGGCTGAGGGAGCTGGGTCTTTTTAGCTTGGAGAAGCTGTCCAGAGGTATTGTAGAGTCTCCTTCTCTGGAGACAAACAAAAACCCACCTGGACACATTCCTGTGTGACCTGATCTAGGTGCTCCTGCTTTGGCAGGCAAATTGGACTAGATGATCTTTCAAGGTCCCTTCCAATCCCTAACATTCTGTGATTCTGTGACTGGATATGATGGCTACATCCACAGAGTTATTTAAAAATGCTTTATCATTGCAATACTTAACCACTGTGGTAGTTTCACTTCAGTGTCTAGCTCAGCTTCACCACACTGTTCTCTCACTCCCTCTCCTCAACAGAACAGGGGGAGAAAATATGAAAAAAATGCTCATGGGTTGAGATAAGGACAGGGGGGTCATTCACCAATTAGTCTCATGGGCAAAACAGACACAGTGTAAGGGAGATCAAAATCACATATTGCTTATTAATAGCAGATTAGAGCAGTGAGAAATAAAAATGAACTAAAAACACCTTCCCCCCCATCCACACTCTTCTATGTCTTTACCCTGAGTGGTGCAGGGAAACAAGGAATGGGGGCTGTGTCAGTCCCTGATGCTGCATCTCTGCCGCTCCTTCATGGTCACTGTCTGTCCCTGCTCCATGTGGGGTCCCTCCCACGGGATGCTGTCCTTCCCAAACTGAGCCTGCGGGGGCTGCCCACAGGCAGCAGCTCTTCAGGAACTGCTCCCACATGGACACCATGGTACCACAGGGTCTATCCATCAGGAGCAAACTGCTCCAACACAGGTCCCCCACAGGCAGCAGCTCCCTCCAGACCCCCTGCTCCTGCGTGGGCTCCTCTCCACGGGCTGCAGCTCCGGCCCGGGGCCTGCACCTGTAGGGGCTTTCCATGGGCTGCAGCCTCCTCCAGGCCACATCCACCTGCTCCACCGGGGGCTCCTCCACGGGCTGCAGCGTGATCTGCTCCATGTGGGACCCATGGGCTGCAGGGGGACAGCTTGCTCCACCAGGGACCTCTCCACAGGCCACAGGGGAACTGCTGCTGCCTGCCTGGGGCACCTCGTGCCCTTCTGCACTGACCTTGGGGTCTGCAGGGCTGGTTCTCTCACATTTTCTCTCTTCTCTCTCCCAGATGCTGTTGCATAGTAGTTTTTTCCTTTCCTATATATGCTTTCACCGAGGTGCTACCACCTCTACCCATTGGCTCAGCTCTGGCCAGTGTTGGGTCCCTTTTGGAGCCAGCTGGAGCTGGCCCTTACCTAACATGGGGCAGCTTCTGGGCTCTTCTCACAAAAGCCACCCCTCCAGCCAGCAACCTGCTGCCAACAGCTTGCTGCATAAACCTAGTACAACCCTCAATATGGCCCTGTCTTTTTATTTAAATCCACAGTAGGTACTCAGATTCCTCACATAACACATCCTTATTCCTCATTATTTGTGATACCTAACTGTATCTGGGGCAATATTTTGCTGCTGTGTCTGTGTCTCTTGTATAACCTCCCCATGCTCTGTAAAGTTCTCACACATCCATGTGTCTCCCAGAGCTCACAGCTCTCAGTGAGGATGTCCTGGCTGCTTTCCTCTGAAGCTGCAGCCATCCACTCCTACAGAAATGTTTCTATCTTCGATATTCTGTCCTGATCCATAACAGAGACATTTCATCTCCTCTTCTATTTTTTTTTTCTCTTTGTCTTAACTTCCTTTTCTCCTACATTTCTCCTAAAATTCATACATGAAATTATGTTTATTGTCTGGTCTACCTTCTCTGCTTGCCATCACAACCCTATCCAGTCTAAATATTAAAATCTTGGAATCATGGAATCATAGAATGGCTTGGGTTGGAAGGAACCTTAAAAATCATCTAATTCCACCCCCCATGCCATGGGCAGGGATGATGCCCCCTAGATCAGGTTGCTCAAAGCCCCATCCAACCTGGCTCTGAACATTACCATGGATGAGACATCCACAGCTTCTCTGGGCAACCTGTTCTAGTGCCTCACCACCCTCTGAGTAAATAATTTCTTCTGAATATTTAAATTAAACCCAGACACTTTTAGCTTAAAGTCATTAATCCTTGTCGTATCACTACACTCGCTGTCAAAAAGTCCCTCCTCCGTTTTCCTGCAGGCCCCCTTTAGGTACTGGAAGGCTGCTACATGGTCTCTCGAGAGCCTTCTCTTTTTCAGGATGAACAACCCCAACTCTCTTAGCGTGTTTTCATAGGAGAGGTGCTCCAGCCTCTTGATTAGACTTGTTCTAATGCATCTATGTCTTCTGCTGGGGGCCCCAGAGCTAAACATAATACTCAGGTGGGGTTTCACAAGAACAGAGTAGAGAGGGGATTTAATCTATTAAAAATTAAATATTAAGTAAAATAATATTAAATGATAACTATATTAAATAAATATCTTGAAATATAATGGATAAATGTACAATAGCTATAATATAATATGATATGTATCAGAAATGTATCAGAAACAGTGTGACCTGTGGCTTGTATCAGAAACAGTGTGACCAGCAGGGCTAGGGAGGTGATCGTCCCCCTGTACTCGGCTCTGGTGAGGCCGCACCTCGAGTACTGTGTTCAGTTTTGGGCCTCTCGCTACAAGAAGGACATCGGGGTGCTTGAGCGGGTCCAAAGAAGGGCGACGAAGCTGGTGAGGGGCCTGGAGAACAAGTCCTACGAGGAGCGGCTGAAGGAGCTGGGCTTGTTCAGCCTGGAGAAGAGGAGGCTCAGGGGCGACCTTATCACTCTCTACAGATACCTTAAAGGAGGCTGTAGAGAGGTGGGGGTTGGCCTGTTCTCCCACGTGCCTGGTGACAGGACGAGGGGGAATGGGCTAAAGTTGTGCCAGGGGAGTTTTAGGTTGGATGTTAGGAAGAGCTTCTTTACTGAAAGGGTTGTGAGGCATTGGAACAGGCTGCCCAGGGAGGTGGTAGAGTCACCATCCCTGGAAGTCTTTAAAAGACGTTTAGATGTAGAGCTTAGGGATATGGTTTAGTGGGGACTGTTCGTGTTAGGTTAGAGGTTGGACTCGATGATCTTGAGGTCTCTTCCAACCTAGAAATTCTGTGATTCTGTGATATGACATAATGCATAATAACAATAATGTAAGTATATAATTTAAATATATTTAATTATATTAAATAAAATAATAAGTATTAAATCTCACCTCCCTCTACCTGCTGGCCATGCTTCTTTTGGTGCAGCTCAGGATATGTTTGGCTTTCTGGGGTGCAAACACACAGTGCCAGCTCAGGTTGAGCTTCTCGTCAAGCAACACTCCCAAGTTCTTCTCCTCAGAACTGGATTTAATCCATTCTCCATCCAGTCTGTATTAATGTTTTGGACTGCAGAATCTCTTTTAGTTTCTCTTTCCTTTTCATCTGTTTACTTCCTCCTGTCTTTCCATGAACGTATCTCCCGTTATACTTTCCCCGCTTTTGAGGTTGCTTGACTCTTGACCCCAGCTGCCTTTCCAAGTACTGCTTAATCTCCCTTTATGATTTCATGTCAAAGATAATGTGTAGTTTATACATTTTTAGGTGCACAGAGGTGTCAGAAACTGAGAGGCACAAGTTGGTATTCAGAATTGATGTTTGTAATCTGGCTCTAGGTCTTTGTGCTAATGTTTGTTGTATGGAAATGACAGTTCAAAGTACATTGGAGGCATTTCTGAATTAGAATGAACTTGCTTACCTTTATTCCAGGGGAAAGTTTTCCTTATTGATAGTCAACTGTTCAACTCTTTCAAATACAAATTCATCAAGCTTGCAAAGACAAAGTCTTTTCTAATTCTGCCTTATTTCATTCATCAACGTGGCAGTTTTTTGTTTGTTTGTTTGTTTTTCTTCCCCTCACACCCTCTGATACCTAAACAATTATTCTTCTAACAGATGACTGATTTAATTTTGCAGTATAATAGATCTATTTTGCTGATTGCAGTCCTCACATATGTTTATACCACCTGAATAGTTATTGCTGAAATGTATCTAGTTTCTGAGAATAGTCTTTTCTTTGCTCTTTATAGAAGAATAATAAAAATGAGTTAACACTGTGGAGCAAATCTTCAGCTGATGTATATTAGTATTATTTCACTGGCTTGAATCAGGATGAAAGAGTCTAAATTCATTACTTTATTTCCATTCTTTAGTTAATAACATAGACAATTGGACTAGCCAGATGCTGTGCAATGGAGATAACTGTAATGTTCAAAATGCTGTGTCCCATGTTGACACCCAGCCACAAGCCAAAGCTTTGCATCTGTTCAATGGCCTAATAGAAATTCAAGCTATACTGTCAAAAATGGCTCAAAAAAAGTTTAGATTTATCCACTTTTACCAGGGGACTGCAAATGAATATATGTCATGATTTTGGTTGAGCTAGTGTACACTGCACAGTTTTTCTGGTAATGTTTTCTTCCTGAAAGCACATATTTGACTTCATCCATGTTTTAGAAGCATGTAAAAAACATTTGTTTAAGTTTCTGTATTTTAAATAAGGACCATGGAAAGAGCAAGTCTGATCAGTCTATCTGAGCTGATTCAACAAAGTATTGTAGAAAAGTGTGTGACTTCCTTTTGGTATTATAGCCTGGATAAGAAGAATGAATGTAAATTCTGTATGCACGTGTGAATAAATCACCCCAAGATGCTTGTTCTGAGAAGGGCTTTGCTCCAAAACTGGCAATGTCCAAAGGAAATGAACAAAGATAAACTTTGCTTAAGCTGGCCATTAGTGGAATTAAACATTAGGCAGTGGAATGCCAAGTAAAATTTGAGAGAAAGTCATCTTGAGAAGCACTTTAGGAGAAAAGTGAAGATCTCTAATTGGATAGAGACCACATGGTGCAAATGAGGCCAGCAAGGCAGGTCAGATTCCCCTCTCTAAATAGGCCTAGCAAGACCATCTCTGTGGTCACACAAATGTGGCTCAATGGAAAACACACATCTAGCTTTTTAATCTCCTCTTTTCTCCTCCCAAGGCCATGGAAGATTTCCCTGAGCAAACTCAGCCATGGAATACCTGCCACAAAAGGACATTTATATGACATTGCAAGGGAGACACAGAATATACAAGCAAGAAAGACAACAATATGCAGTGATGCTGGGGTGTCTACATATTTACAGCTGTGAAATGTGCTGTCTTGACAAAGATACAAAGGCAGCCAAGTGCACTCTAACAAAATTGCAATGTTGGCAGCTGTGTCCAGGAACAACAGGTACCACTAAAAGTTCCTCACATGGAATTCACGTCTTTAACACCTCTATATTTACTTTAATTCTTCGTCTGATCATTCATGTTTTTCTACTATTTGTCCTATCCCACTACCTTTTATCTTTTGAGCTCATAGCTGAAAAGAAGATTGTATTTCAGTGTGTTCATTAAAAATCACATCAAAAAATACTTACTGATACTATGTATGTACAGTATGGTGATTTTATGCATTACTAATCATAAAATACTGTAAGAAGTTGCAAAAGAATTGAAGTAAAAAACAAAAAAACCCCTCAGATTCCTCTCCAGAGACTATTTTTTCTGAATTCAATTTGACATACATTATGAGTTTTGTATATAAGGCGTATGTTTTCTAGAAATTACATTTGTTCTTAATTCGGAGAGTAAAAGAGCCATCATAGCTATGGATATCAAAACATGTTACACATTTTTCTTCCATACAACAAGAAGCACACCATCAGGACTGTATTAATTTCCTGTTCTCTTCTAGAGCTGTAAACAAGTACTATTCTTCTGCTTGTGGCAATCCTGTCTTTTCTTTTTAACTGCATGGTACCAGGCTTTATTTGCTTCGATTTTATTTTTTTTAGAATCTTTTACTTCCGTTTTTTCCCCCTTGTCTTCTACCATTAAGTCATATATCCTGAACTTCTTGTCCCATTTAAGAAGCCCTATAAAATCATTCCATAAATGCATTGTATGGCACTGTGGGAGCTGTCTACCCAGCTCCGGAATCTGTGAGCCATTCTTCCACAACTCTTTGAATGCAATCTTTCAGCAAATTTTGTATCCACTGAGAAGTTTATCTGTCAAATCCATATCTCTCTAATTTGGTGACAAGAATGTCATTTGGGACAGTGTCAAATTCTTTGCACAAGTCCAGGTAGATGATGGCAGTTGCTCTTCTCTTATCTACTGATGCTGTAACTCCATTATTGAAGGCCACCAGATTTGTCAGGTATAGTCTGCCCTTAGTGCAGCCATGCTGGCTGTCACCAATCACCTCCTTATTTTCCATGTGCCTTAGCTTAGTTTCTAGGACGATCTGCTTGGCACAGTGGTGAGACTAACTGGCCTGTAGTTCCCTTGATCCTCCTTTTTTTCCCTTTTTAAAAATGGAGGTTACATTTCCTCTCTCCCAGTCAGTGGACTACCATGACTTCTCAAATATAACGGATAGTGGGTTAGCAACTTCATCCACAAGTTCCATCTGGACCCATGGACAGATCTCAACAGGTCCCATGGACTTGTGCATATTCAGGTTCCTTTGATGGTCTTGAACCTGATCCTCTCCAACAGTGGGTGGTTCATCGTTCTCCCAGTCCCTGCTGTGTGCAGATGTGTTTTCTATTCCTACTGATCCATTTTGGTTGGCTACTGTTAAAAAAAACAACAACAAATAAACCACCAACCAACCAACCAACCAAACAGAAGAATTTAGCTATAACTCAGACATAGGTAATTGAATATAAGAATCTTTCTGAAATGTAATGTATAGTGAGACTCAAACATAGTATGAAGCCACTGTGAATTAACACTCTGGTAAAATGCACAGAAATGGATTTTGACCTGAAGTCCATGGCCAGGTAAGTTAGTTGAACATTTTTAACTAAGACAAACAAGCAACTGGTTGCAAACCATTTGTCTTTTCTTTAAGAAATAGCTTATCTGTAGAAAGTTTAGGTGATATGTTACAACCATGAACTAAGATTCCTTTACCCCTTCCTTCTTCCCATGCACAAAGTCTCTGTTGGGGATTTCATACTGGTTAAAAGATAGAATTCATAGAAAAAATATAAATAAAAAAATATCCTTCAGAAATTTGTTTCTACAGAATCCAACTGGTTAAAGGAATCAGAGCTGACAGAGAGCACTCAAAAGTAATGTCAACAGCCCAGGTCTCCCTGGCAGAAGTGCTAACACAGTAAACTCACAATCTGAACTGGCTTTTTTCAGCTGAGATCAAATCTCTGGCAGACACCCACTGCAGCTGTAGTTTTATTGACAGTAATGATATTTCTGTTTTCAAATGACAGAAAATATGTTTGGTAATTTCAGATTTTTTTCCCTTTGGGTCAAAGGTCTTTTTCACACCTTTCATAAATGGTGGAAAATACGCAAGTTAAGTTGTCTAAAAAATTAGATCTACAGATTATCTTCAATGTTTGAGTAACAAGTTTATTTTTACCAGAACTTGCTATTGAGATATTCTACACACATTTCCTATTAATGGGTAATACCATTGTACTTCTCATTATTCACTACGTATTTCATGAACTGAAAATTATCTTATTGTAATAACGAAAGATAGCTACCATGGTATTTAGTTGTTATGTCTAATAGTACAGCATTGTTAGAAAAATAATATAAATATTCCTATCTGATAGAATATAATTTTGGATTGTGAAATATCAACATAAACAATTTTCTTAAAGGGGGGAAAATAAATGATTATCATCTCACTTTAGATACTAGGGTTTGAGGCTTAGATAAATCAAATGTCTTAATCTTGTGAGGTAGGAGTTAACTGGGATCTTGTAGTTTGCAATCTACTGTCTGAAATCTAACTATATTTGTGCATGTGCATGTGTGCATCCATTCATCTGTTCATCCAATCACCCATTTATTTCCTTTTTTTTTCTTTCTAGGATACTAAATAGTGTCTGATTCACAAATATATGGAAAGAAATCACATTAGTAAACTTATTAAGGGAAGATGTTAATGACAGAAAAATCTCAAAGACTTTTGAAGTGCACTAGCATTACTTCTTTGCAGGTGTTTGTCTAACTTGTTCCTTGAGTCCTTCTGTGGTGGAGGCTTCATCAACTTCTCATGCTGTTCCAGTGCTCCATTATCTTTAATGTTTAGATTATTTCATAATGCTTTTTTTTTTTTTTCCTTTTTTTTTTCCCTTTCAATTTACATCCATTATTTCTTTTTTATCCTTCTAAATGTATTGAAAACTATTGTTCTTTTTGTGTTTGTAGTAACAGCTTATACAGCTGAAGACAGTTATCATGTCTCCTCTCTGTCTTGTAGGACGCTTGGTCTAAAGAAGATGTCATGATATGACAAACACAGCTATTGAAGAGGAAAGCTACTCTTAAAAGATAATATGCTAAAGATGGAAATTTTAAAATATTAAAAAGATAAAGCATTTTTAAAAGATCTCCTAAATTACAGTTGTCTATAACAGCAGTTAAAAAAGTATTTTTTGGAACTACCTGCTACTCTAAAAGTGCTAAATATATAGACTTCTCAGACAGCTGGGATAATAAACATGATCCCTAGGCCTTTACAATTGCAAAGACTCTGAAAACATATGACTTTCATCAGTGTAAATCAGAAACGGTGTTTTGGAAGGAGGTGTAAAATGACCGTTTTCTACAGGATACAATGAATTTAGGCTAAACTGCATTATTTGAGGAACACTCCTGCTGTGGCTAACTAAAGAACAGGTCCACGGGCCATTCAAAGTCTACTTTTAGAGACCATTAAAACAATACTTTTATTTGTTTGATTGTTTATTTGCTATTTATTTAATATTTTTATCCATAACACTATTATGAAAGATATTCAGAGCGTTGAGGCTTGATTCACATGAATTCCATACAAGCATAATTCTACATTTATAATGGGAAAAGAGAAAGGAAAAAATGAGATTTTTATATTATCTTACAACATGCTATAATGTGCTGAAATGATTTATTCTTTGTATAAATAATTTACAAACATTTATAAAGTCTTAATAAAGTGATATAATAAATAGCATTTTTCAGTTTTAAGGTAACTACACCTGCACAAAAAGAGTTATCTTTATGGTAGAAAACACAACAAAGGACTTGAACAGTGTTTTCCCTTCTCCAGCTTATTTTGAAGTAGAATTGAAATCATATTTAACTGCAATTTTACTCTGGCAGTAATTTAGAAAAATAAGAGAATATTATGAGCCTGAACTTCTAGTTTCTCTGAAGTATTTTGTTTTGAAATGCTGAAGTTCCCAACCTGTGCTAGTGTATACCTGGTGCAATCTGACACTGAGAAATACTGGAAGGATTCTTTAAAGAAGAATCCCTCAGGTCACAGCTTGTTCCACTGCAGCACAGCACACTATCACTTCTATTCAACTTTGACCATTTTTTCACAGTAGATCTTACAGAAGTAACAAAACCATACGTTGAAAAGAATTTGATGTTATTTTACCTCTGTGAAGTTTGCAATGATATTGTAAATGAAGTGTGTGTCTGTGGGAAGGCTGAATAAAAAATACAATTTACTGTCAAGAAATAGATGAATACTGGTCCATTTGAAACAATAGAAATTGTTCTCATTTACCATTAGATGGCATACATACAGTATAAAATACACGATTAAACAGAATTCCAGTGTACTAGGTGAAAGGTTAAATATTACTTCTGTAGCATAATAGATGCATGCTAAAGCCTGCTAATATTTGTTTCCACTCAGAATTGTTATGTCTAAAGAATTTCAGACTCTTCACTGAATACTTCTACATAACTGGCCAAATAAGTCTATGCTGCTAAAAGCAGCTCAGTGATTGTTAACACTGCAGCATTGCTGTGTATTCAGCTCCTGCACATATACTTCCTATTTTTCCTGTTCAGTGAGGATTTTCCATTAGTTTAAGTCTTGTAACAGACTCAGAATTTTCTCCATTCCTTTACAGTAGATGTGTGGCAAAAGGAATCACAAAAAAATAAAAATTAAAATTTAAAAAATCTGTAGTCTCAAAGTATATGTTCAGTGAAATTCCAAGCATTTTACTTGAAAAAAGAAATGCCTGAGTTTCTTCTACCAAAATGGGACTGTTCTTAATTTAGAAGTGCTCTAAGACAATCTATTATACCAAAATAGTAGCTGACTGTTTTGACTATTCACTGTAGACGCAGCTCTACACTGAATAAGGGCTCTAACATGTTTAATTGTGATCACATGAGATATACACTGCTGTGGAGTTATGAAAAATGCAGTCCTCCTGGCTGTGTCAGAAAGGAGGGGATACTGTTCAAGGCTGAGAAAGAACACGCTACTTGGTACTTGTAGTGCCTGGTAGCATCATCCATCTTCCTCTGAAAACCTATGCGCTGGGTATGTTTGTCTGGCTTGCTCATTAGCTGAGCTTCACAGTGTTGCTTATCAAAACTTTTTAATCTCTTGGTTCAGAAGTGGGAAAGGGGTGGAGGTTAATGTATAGTTACAGCCTTCTTTCTCTCTTAAACAGATGGAGAAAAAATATAAACTGTAAGGTCCTGCCAGCATACTCTTCCCAGTGAAAAGATAGGTAACTTCTACAAAATTTCTAGATAGTAAGTCAGGAGGAGAATTCAACCCAAAACTTAGAATTGACAACTTTTTCTGAAAACCAAACCAAACCATTGAATTTTTGGAGGATATTTGAGTGCAATAAGAGAACTTTTGTGTTTATATGCCCAGAAGCTTATATAGAGAGGATAAAAATTGATATGTTCCCTCTCATGACCTGATTCACTTCTGCTTCTTCCTTAGTGGTCAGATCATCCTGACTCATAAGATGTCTTAGTAGCAGATGTCTTATGCACAAAATGTCACAATAACTTAAAATCATCTCTAAACTAAACTGTTTATTCCCTTATTTGTTTTGGAAAGGAATTTGCTGAAAGTTAAGGTAATATCTTAGCAGATTCTTGTAGAGATGCATACAGCAAACTAAATGTCCTACTGATGCTACAGAAATGGCCAGTGTATTATATTGCATACAGTTAATTTTTAGTACATCTTTGTTCAGCCCAAAAAAGATTTTTCAATTTCGAGTGGGTCTGGAAAACACATTTTTTTCTCTAATAACATAAAAATGATACAGTGAAGCATATTCTAGACAGGAAGAGAGTCTGGGATTAACATGTAGATGTATTAAGCCCAAAAACATTTTGTTGCTTGCTTTAGAGAATCATTTTTCTAAATCACACTTTGTTTCACTTGATTTCTGTCACATAGACAAGGATGTTATTACATATAGCATTGCATGCATGTCTGAGGTATAGCACCTGAATAGTTATAGTCCAACCTTAAGAAGAGGTAAATGCTGCTAGTATTGAATGTGTTAAGTAATGGAATAAAGGGAAGCCCTTGAAATCTGGGAATACAGGAAAACAGAGAAATTTTGGAAAGTTAAATAACAAGGCAGGAAATATTTCTTAACATTTAATAGGTGTTGTGGCAGGGAAAACTGCTCAGTTCATTTAGTTTATATGAAATCAGTATCAAAACAATTTAGTTATTTACCCTTTACGTGAAATTAGACAGTAATCAGTGAATGCTGCCGGATGGAAAGGCAGCTGTTTCTGGCCCAGGCATAAATTGTGATGCTGGGAGCAACTTGTGTCAGTGTTAATCCAAGCTGTGACTTGTGCAGTTTCCAGTAAAAAGAATCTACCCTCCAATTACAGATGTTCACCCTTCTTTCATACGTCTTCCCAAGCTGACTCTTTCTGTTTTTCAAAAGTCTGTTTGTAATTCTCTGGTCACAGTTCAACCTGCCTGAAGGGTGTCATCCTCTGTAACATAGTCAGTGTTACAGCAAATGCCCTCCTAGGTAGCTTTTGACCATTTAATTCACTTGTACTGGGTACACTCTATATGTTAACAAGTGTTGCTACCCAGGCCATCTGCCAAAGGTGGGCTCTGCAATCACCCACCGCAAAGTTTCTAGTTAATTATGATGCTTTTTAACTAAATATTGTGATTAGTGTTTCTTTCAGAGTTACCTGATACTTCTTCTAGGCATGTGTAGTATTTGTTTCTCTTCAGGACAGATGAAAGTCTTGTTAACTTTGCCAGTCTTAATAGCTGGTAGTCTGCCACACATTTGTAGTATACTTTAATAAAAAGCTCACATAGACAAGGTTGTTACTACATCATTGCATGTGTTTATATTCAACTGACTGGAAATTGGGATTTCCACCTCCTAGGAAATTTTTGCATTTCTGCAAAAAAGAGAAAAAATCAACTTTTTTTCCCAGCTTAAAGTAAAAGGTTGTAAATATGCTTTCTTTTCCTTCATCGGGAGTTGTAGAGACAATGATTGCTTTTTGGGAAACATTGAAGAGAAGAGGAACAGTTTCTTTATTTTCACTTACAAGCTCCCATCTTGGCAGCAGACTGCCTTAGGTCTTGAGGGCCTGCGACATGAGGACCACAACAGCCCTTGCTCTCTTGAAAGGTCTTATGGACTTGTGTTGCAGAAGAACTCTGAATACTAAGTTCACAGAAGCACACCTGGTAAGCTGCTAAAAAAAATGGGGCATTTCAGAGCTTCTCCAGTGTGACAGAGCTTCTCCAGTGTGACAGTGTGACAGTGTGATTAGTGTGACTAATTTTTAGTGTCATAAAGTAAATTTGTGATGCAGGGGGAAATTGTAAATGTTCATTAGTTCTCTTATTTGACTGAGCTTGAACCATAATCTTTATGTGCATTTCACTCCAATTATAAGTTGTGGGTTTTTGGAGACGGGTGGGGAAAGTCATTGAAATAATATGGTAGCTTTTGGTTCATTTCTCACTATACCTTGAACAGACAGGCAAAACAGATTCTGGTCTAATACCTGGTCATAGCTGGGTACCTAAAAGCACAGAGATGTTGGAAGAGGAAAGTGAACGGAACACTAGTCATCACAAGGATGTAAAAGGCACATTGCAAGTTAGCTTTGCATTTGTTGAAGCTGTTTCATCAGACAGTAAAGTAATGTGATATTTAAATGTAACTACCCAGAAAATAAAGAACTCAGCTAGTCCGTGCAGGACAGAGACTGCACCCCAGTCTTCTGTAACCTTTTGTAACCTTCTGCAATACAACAAGCTGGAGAAAGTGTCCACATCCACCCCCCACCCCCCTCCCAGATTTGTCTGTAGGCTCTCCTCCAAAAATTTATGGCAACAGGAGGAAAACTGCTACCAAAACTTCAGTACTGGATATGGGGAAAGCAGACTTCAGGTTGCTCAGGGAACTAGTCAGCAAGGTTTCCTGGGAAACTGCTTTTGAAGGCATTGGCATCCATCAGTGCTGGTCAGTCTTTAAGCACTGCCTCCTGAAAGCACAAGATCAGGCAATTCCAAAATATCGGAAGTCAGGCCAGCCTGGCTGACCAGGGATCTTCTACTGGAGCTTAGGCAGAAAAAGTGTATGGCTGCTGGAAGGAGGGTCAGGTGATGAGGAAGGAATACAGGGATGCTGTTTGTGTTTGTAGGGAGAAAATTCATGTGGCCAAAGCCCAACTAGAGTTGAAACTGGCCATGCCTGTGGGAGACAATTAAAAAGTATTTTTTAGATATGTGAACAGAAAAAAGAGGACACCACAGAAAACATAGGTCCGCTACTTGATGGGGAAGGTCTCCCCACAGACAATAATATAGGCAAGGCAGAAACATTTAATGCCTTCTTCGCCTCTGTCTTCAACTCTGATGATGGGCTTCGGGACCCAGGGTGCCCTGAGCTGGAGGACCACGATGGTGGGAATGACAAACTCCCAACTGACCCTGAATGTGTGCGGGATTTTCTGCTCTGCCTGGATCCATATAAGTCCATGGGTCCAGATGGGATTCATCCCAGAGTGCTTAAAAAGCTGGCTGATGTCATCGTGGGACCTCTCAATTGTTTTTCAATGATCTTGGGAATCTGGAGAGGTCCCAGTAGACTGGAAGCTGGCAAATGTTGTGCCAATTTTCAAGAAGGGTAAGAAAGAAGACCCTAGCAATTGCAGGCCTGTCAGTCTTATGTCAGTGCCTGGTAAAATTATGGAGAAGATGATTCTTGAAGTTATTGAGGTGCACGTGGGGGACAATGCAGTCATTGGTCCCAGCCAACATGGGTTCATGAGGGGTAGGTCCTGCCTAACAAATTTGATTTCCTTTTATGACAAGATCACCTGTCTAGTTGATCAAGGGAGACCAGCTGATGTGATCTTTTTGGACTTCAGCAAGGCTTTTGACACAATTTCCCATAGGATCCTACTGAACAAAATGTCCAGCGTACAACTTAACAAAAATATCATATGATAGGTGAGCAATTGGCTGACGGACAGAGCTCAAAGGGTTGTGGCAAATGGGGCCACATCTGGCTGGCGGATGGTCACTAGTGGGGTACCTCAAGGCTCCTTTTTAGGGCCAGTCCTCTTCAATGTTTTTATAAATGATTTAGATGTAGGACTAGAAGATGTTCTGAACAAATTTGCCAATGACACCAAGCTTGGAGGAGCTGTGGACTCAGATGAGGGTGGAAAGGCTTTGCAGAGAGACCTGGACAGATTGGAGAGCTAGGCAATCACCAACCACATGAAGTTTAACAAGAGCAAGTGCCGGGTCCTGCACCTGGGACGGGGAAACCCTGGCAATACGTGCAGACTGGGCAATGAGACACGGGAGAGCAGCCCTGCAGAGAGGGATTTGGGGGTTGTGGTTGACAGCAAGTTGAATATGAGCCAGCGGTGTACCCTGGCAGCCAGGAGGGCCAACTGTATCCTGGGGTGCATCAAGCACGGCATCGCTAGTTGGTTGAGGGAGGTGATTGTCCCACTCTACTCTGCACTGGTGCGGCCTCACCTTGAGTACTGTGTGCAGTTCTGGGCACTACAGTTCA